GATGGCAATAGCATAGCACTAAAATCTGGGTACGTATGCAGTCTCCTTGACCCCTCCCTTTACCTTAATTCATCGATTTTTATACATGCACCAATAACTAAACTGAAAATTCTAAACCCGTTCATCTGTAGTGGCTATAAAAATCTCCAATAATGAAGTCTTAGTAAAGTTCAGCCCTCATTTATTAACATACTGTAATTACTGGACGAGACTGTAAGGTTTTACCGCATTGTGTCCATCAGGTTTTCATTATATCCTGAGATGAATGTGGAGAGCTCTCTGACTCTGGGCCTTGCAAGTGACTGCATTTCTGTATTTCATCACAAAGAATTTCCAAACAATTGCTAGCTCAGTCTGTACCAACATCTTTTTTCGAATTAGCATAATAAAACTTTAGGAACATCGGTACAAATCATCGCTGTACAAAACAGAGACAGCCTAAGTATTGAAACACTTTGACGCTACTATGATTCTCACACTGACTATTTTTAATAAAAAAAATAATCATGTTAAATAATAAATTGGTCCCACTTGAACTTTCCTATTGATGCTCACAGTTTATTTCATAAACCTCTTAACCTTCTTTTTGGATACATGAAATAATCAAACTGTTCATTCAGCCAACAATAGCGGCCTACTTATCGCACTCATAATGCAAAAGTTCAAAATTACAAATACAAACTCTTATTTTTTTTCCATGCTTTGTGAGGGCCCTCGCCATGTTGGTGCCCCAGTAACTTAGCTCCATTATTATATTCAATAAAATGCTCTCGTCAGTTGTCAATAGAGATTTTTCACAGCAGACATTTTGACTTATCATTGCTAGAAATTAACAAGTGAGACATTTCCTTAGTGATGGCTCAATTCTGTCAAGTGTTATGCGACAGTGTGTCACCAGGAGGCCAAAGGTGTCCTACCTAAGTTGAGTACGCTCCAACTCATTCAATATTTAGTGTCTGCTAATAGCAAGTCCCAATCAGATGCCATTTTCCTAGATAGTACACACTTAAAGTGCATTATTTTAATCAATGCAATATATATGCCTGACAGCTGGGCAGCTCTGTAACAAAAACATGCTTTTCGGCATCCAAGCTCTTCTTAAATGTTACGTAAGTGGTCATGAACCTTGTTAAGAAGTTCTGGTAGGGCTATAAATGAAATGGAGAGTTGAGAAGTTGCGTTGGGATGGCAACAACTGCACTCTACATACATGCCAGAATAAATAGTGTGCATTAGCAGTAGTGTCTGGTTGAGCCACCAGTTAGAGCGTCTTGGTACAATAGAAACCCAAGGAGGCATCCCCCCTGTGTTGGCAAGCAGGGATGATTGTGAGAGTTTAGCTAGCAATGGGCACCATGACAGCCACTTTCTGTGACGCTGGTGTATTTTATTTAAAGCATCCTGCCACAGCTTCTACCTCCCTTCCTGCTACCTGTTTGGCAGCAGATGCAAACGAAAGATTGGTGCTGATACCGGTCACTTAAGTACCACTAGCTGTTGTGATTGACCTGAATTCCAATCTTTGACTTCGGCTCTGGACATCCCAAGCTGGAACATTAAAAGTTTCTCCCACTCATTGCTTGAATGCTGAGCATGTGCAGCTCTATGAAGCCCCTGCCTCTTTCTCCATCCACCTCTTCCCACTTGCTTCATCTCTAGCACACCAGCTCACTGTTGGCTTTGCTCAAACCGCTGTAAAACCGCTTACAGGAGAAAGAGATGAGTGTATCTCAGAGGAATAATAAAATATCGAAACATTTAAATGCCACTTGCAACAGCTAAATATGAAGGTTGATCAAAGGGTTTTAAGACTTTGTGTAGGATGTCACGTGATACTGTGTAATTAGCAGCAACAGGGACCTGGATTACACATTTTATGACATGTGGATGTCACAGGTTGCACCCACATGCCATCGCTCCACAGTTCAGGTCATTTTGAATGTTCTCCCTCAAACATTTTGGGACGTTAAAGTGGAACTGTGTGACCCTGTGGGATTCATTTCCTGTGCACGACCGCGTAAATGTTCGAGAAACCAGTGTGCTGCTGGTGTACCGCAGCATTTAGAGAACTCTTAAACAAGTGGCTGTCACTTCCATATGTCATTTCACAAATTTCTTCCAGAGCAAAACAATCCACTTGACCTTTGGTCCTCTGTGAATCATGATGCAAATGCACTAATTCTGCTTGTAATACTGTAAATGCTAATTTTTGTTCAATCTCACCTATCTCCATACACAGTATTTGCGATGATCTAACTGATGATTTTGCGTATTTGTGCATTTCAGACATGACGCGCCGTTGGTGCACCTTGGAGGGCGGCTTCCTCAGCTACTATGAGAGCGAGCGAAGCCCTTCGGCCATCGGCAGGGTGGACGTCACCGAAGTGGTCAGCCTGGCCATCAGCAACACGGAGACGATGACTGGAGCTGGGTAGGAACACAAAATATCCAAAATCTAAACCGTGAAGGCCTCGGAAAACCTTAGTAAGCAAATGACTTACTCCAGACTTCCAGAATTGATGTTAAAAAGCTTTCAGATCTGTGGAATTCTAATTAACGGTGCTTAATAGTGCTGTGTAGAAATATACAGCATTTAATAATCATTTCAATCCAATACTTCAAGAGTTCTTTTATGTATAACTTAAACAGCCAAGGTAGAGGGCCTTTATTTACATCCATTCTCATTCACACGCAGCCCACATACATTCTCAAGCACGCATATACAGTCGAGCCCATTCGAAAGGCTTCATTTGCATCCCCTACACTAAATCATAATTTATGTGATTGTTGAACCCGCGGAGAGGACACACATACCATACAGACACAAAAAAAATAAAACACAAACCCTTCAAATGATTTATTTCCTTCTATTGGCTAAATTACAATTTACTGCACATACAATTCATATATTATAGCGTTTGGGCTCGCTTCGACGTAAACACCAAAACACTTGCATGTAAAACATTGGCTTCTGCGTTGTTTCTCTCCCTTGTCATATGTCTCATTAGCATAATCTTAGATTGAGCATTATTCAGTTTAACAGAACCATCAGGGCTTTATGAGCGCTATATTTCCTGTTTACTTTGCGGGCGAAACGACGACGTCTTTAACTGCCACTTCCTGTCTGCACCTCCCCCGACCGCTCCTCCGTCTGATTATGATTCAGCTTAAATAAAAAAATAAAAAAAGTTGCTCTGACAGCAAACTTTTTTTTTCCTTCTTCTTCTTCTTCTTTATTTCTTCTGGAAGTGATACAAACACACAAAGAAGAAGCAGATGTCTCGATCCTTTTTCTGCTCACGCACTTCGCACTCCCACTGGATCGTGCCGCCGCAATGTGTGTGTGTTTGTGTGCTTCAGTTCCAGAGCAAGAAGTCTGATAATGGCTTATGATTAAAGCACAAGCCAAGTCCTTAATGATAGTAGCAGATGTTATGAAGAGGGAACAATGCTTTTATTTGTAAATGTTATTTATACAGCCATTAGAAACACATCTGGCTCGCTAAAACTATGACCTTTGTAATGAGTCGGACGCATACGCGCTGCCATGACGGGTTGTGGCGATAACACTGCAACAAAGCCACTTGCACCATTTTTTTTTTTCCTTTCCAGCCCGGCTCGTACATCCCATTTATAGGTCACAGCGTCACCCCTAGAAAGGCTATTATTTCTCCGTCGCTAACGCTCATAATGGCCGTGCGTTTCACTAGATTAAACTCTTGCCTCCCTCCCTCTCACTTCTGCAACTTCCAGCGTTCCCAGCGTGGCTGTGCGCGCCGAGAGAGCAGGGACGCCTCACCTCTCGACTGTCTGCCGCTCATGAATATTAATGTATGCAGATGACACCACGCTCCCACCAGCAGCCTATCACCGCGCTACAGGAGGCTGTAGGTGTCGTTCCATTAAACACGGCATTTGGGTAATTTCGGCGTGGCAGAGGACACCGTGAATTATAGCGCGGCCTCCCCGAAACATACGTTCGCTGTGAATATTACAAACCTGAGGAATTAATGCAAAGGGAGCGTGTTGGCTGGCGATAAGTTTTGCGACTCATCTGCCTGTTTCGACAAGAGTTAGTACTGACCTTCAAAATCAACTAACAACCTTGGAAACAAACCACCTCCCTGCTCTTTCCCTTTTTGTCATTTCACTCTCTTTTTTTTTTCCACCATCCTCTTCCTTCACACAAGACTTTTTAGAACAGCTTAGGCTCCAACTTTGTCAGTGAGATGTCTTATATATTTTTTTTCTTCCAGGGCTGGGGAATTAAGACTTTTTCAGAGCACACAAAAGCCTTAAGGAGGCAATAAAAAAGCTACAGAAATTTATATAGATAACTTTGTGCTTGTTGAAACCACAGGTGGATCTTGTGCGGCAGGCTCCTCCGCCAGGAAATGCGTCTGTAAACTCTGTCAAAATTGGTTCGGTAACAAATAAAAATCTACTTTCCCTCCCCTCTCAAATAACCGCACAGGTTCGTGGATGGTAATGAAATTAAATCCAAATAAATGTGATAATCAGACGAGAGATGTACCCTCGTCACATTTTGTGTTTTTGCTCATTTTCAGTGTTTTTTTTTGTTTAGATTATTGTCATTGGGCTTTATTTGCCTTTATTGTTTGATAGGGACAGCTGTAGAGAAACAGAAAAGCAGTCAAACTCGACACACGGTGCTCTGCAAGGCGAGCTATCGGGGTGCCTGACAGTGTTCGTCTTCTGAAGGGGTTTTTGCATGAGCGTAGAGGAAGCTTCAGATTGCTGCGGCGGCACGTTGAGAATTTTAAAAAAAACTTTCTCGTCTCTTTATTTTGAGATTGATGTTTAACTGAAGTATAATAGAAACTAATGTCACCGGTATCATTACTGATGTATTGTGTCTTGTTTTCAGGGGCTTCACAGATGAGTTATTTATTAGTTGGTGGAATGATTCGGCAGCTCTTGACTTAAACTTAAACACATCTTGTCTATAAAATGTCAGTTTTGTTTTTTTCTGTACTATATAAACATACTCAAACACCCACATGAGCTTGTGTCCTGTAACTGAATT